CACATATATATATATATATGTATATATATACATATATAAACATGAATCACTTCTTACATTGGTTTATTTAGTCTATTTCAAAAATACTTACCTGGCTAAACCGACTGATTGGCATTTTCCTAGTAGAGCACCCCACGAAGAAAAAAGAAAATAGAACCGTCCGTCTCAACATTTGTGCATTTTATATCTTTATATAGATGTTGACGAATGTGATCATATTCGGCTATATTGTTCTGGAAACGAGACTTGTGATTATGAAGTTTGCAGTGACGATGGCTTTTGCACTAATACAGACGGTTCTTATACATGTGAATGTTATGATGGCTTTACTGGCACAGGTGTAATATGTTTTGGTGAGTTGAACTAGTTAAACAAACCCGGTGAAGCCAACTAGATCTTGAAAAATAATGCTATAAATATATAGACCTACAAACACTACTTTTATTAGTAGGACTCTTTATGTGAAGTAGTAGTAGAGAGGAGTTTGGACTGGTTACTTGACTCATCAATTACAATAAAATAGTATATAGGTATCAGTATCTGAACTCATTACCTAGTTTAATATGTAAATTTTACAACAATTAAAAAATATAAATCAATACAAATATTTTAAAATAATTTAACCATATTTATTAATAAATAAAAAACAACATTTAGGTGAACACAATAGGCCTATTGTTTTTATTTTTAAATGTGTTTAATTTCAATCATAGTACTCATTGAATCAAGTACTTAGATAAATGTAATGTTTCTATGATCATGATGAAATATATAAGAAAGGGCGGATGAGCTCCCCCGGAGTCATTGTAACCATGCTTAGTTTAAGGAGTAGAATTAGCATGTCTTTAGGGTTAGATTTGTATTACTTTCTTGGTCTGTTTTTTTTTTCATGTTTATGTTAAGCGCATAGAGGTCTCAGTAATATGCGCTATATAAGTCGACTATTATTATAATATTATGATGAGCATAATTTAATTTACAGATATCAACGAGTGCTCTGATACGCCATGTGATTCCATGGCAACTTGTGCTAATGTTCCAGGGAGTTACGTCTGCACATGTGCAAATGGATTCGAAGGCGATGGAATAGCATGTGAAGGTAAAGCCCAATGAAATCGAATTTATATGTTCAAAACTCGACACGTGAAAGCTTTTTTGCCCTTTGTCTTACTTGTTCTGTTAAATATTGATGTATACTTTTCATTTAATACAATAAAATGATGTACGAAATCCATCCAGCTTCGTAAGGTCAATAATCTCAGAAAAATATGTGTGCTAGCCTCGCGAGGAATCAATTTGCACCGAATTCGGCGCATATGAGCTTTTTTTTTTGGGATGTGTGTATACTAGCCTTGTAGCTTAGCTGAATTCATTGTACCTAAATAAATAATAATACCTGTAATAAAAATGATGATTATAAAACCATAAATTCCAGTGTTTAATGTTCATATTCAGATATTAATGAATGCAACGAGACCAATAGTTGCACCGAGAATTCCGAATGTACAAACATCCCTGGATCCTACCAGTGTAACTGTATTGATGGCTTTCGTGGAAATGGATTTTCAAGTTGTGTGAATATTGATGAATGTGCTGAAAACACGCACGATTGCCATGCGCAGGCGACGTGTAATGACACTCAAGGGTCGTACTCGTGCTTATGTAATGATGGATTCAATGGAACTGGTATCATCTGTGAAAGTAAGAAATATTTTTCAATTACTGTAGTGGCTAGCGTCGAGTTTGTTGAAATATTAAATAAAATAACATAATATAAATCTACTACGGTCGAGCCTTACTAAACTATGGAAATGGATTGTTCCGACATGTAGTGCATTAAGATAGAGATGCTTATAAGATCAGAACAAACCGACTCCACCAATTAACACCTTGGAATTGTGTTAAATCGTCGGAACAATATCCACAGCGTATATTGCAATAAAGTAAATGCTGAAGTAATGTATTTTCCACAGATATTAATGAATGTTCTTTGGGAGAAATTAATGACTGCGATGAAAATGCTTCATGTATGGACTTAATCGGATCCTATTTTTGCACCTGCAATGAAGGCTTTATTAACGAAGAAGGTGGAAGTGCAACATATGGAAAGTGTACAGGTAAAATCTTAACTTACTTTTAAGTTTAATGAGTATAGGCCTACTGTACAGTTGGTGTCATGTGACGTATCAGTATTTCCCTGCCACCATTTTCAGTAGGGGACTGTGCATAGGTAGTATGGTGAATAATTACCAAAATTATTTAAAAAAATAGGCCTATCTATATTAATTATAAATAAAATATTATAGTGTATTATGAATATAACAATCAAATAGGAATAACAATTTTAAATAATTATATAAGAAATGTGTTAAACTGGTGTGCAATACGTTAGGTGAACTTACGATATTTGATTTTTCAAAAAAACAGAAATTAATGTAACAACGATTGCCGGGCCAACCACGTCAGCAAATGTAACAACAGTTGATGGCCCAACCACAGCATCAGATTTAACAACGGTTGCCGGGCCAACCACGTCAGCAGTAACAACAGATGATGACCCAACCACAGCAGCAGATGTAACAGATACCGATCCAACCACATTAGCAGATGTAACAACAGATGCCGAACCAACCACATCAGCAGATGTAACAACAGATGCCGAGCCAACCACATCAGCAGATGTAACAACAGATGGCGAGCCAACTACATCAACAGATGTAACAACAGTTGCGGAGCCAACCACATCAGCAGATGTAACGACAGTTGCCGAGCCAGCCACATCAGCAGATGTAACAACAGATGCCAGACCAACCACATCAGCTGATGCAACAACACATGCTGTGTCAACCACATCAGCTGATGCAACAACACATGCTGTGTCAACCACATCAGCAGATGTAACAACAGTTGCCGAGCCAACTACATCAGCAGATGTAACGACAGTTGCCGAGCCAGCCACATCAGCAGATGCAACAACAGACTCCGGGTCAACCACATCAGCAGATGTAACAACAAATTCCAGGTCAACCACATCAGCAGATGTAACAACAAATTCCAGGTCAACCACATCAGCAGATGTAACGACAGTTGCCGAGCCAGCCACATCAGCAGATGTGACAACAGATGCCGGGCCAACCACATCAGCATATGTAACAACAGATGCCGAGCCAACCACATCAGCAGATGTAACAACAGATGCCGGGCCAACGACATCTGCAGATGTAACAACAGATGCCGGGCCAACCACATCAGCAGATGTAACAACAGACGCCAGACCAACCACATCAGCTGATGCAGCAACACATGCTGTGTCAACCACATCAGCAGATATAACGACAGGTGCCGAGCCAGCCACATCAGCAGATGTAACAACAGCAGGCGAGCCAACTACATCAGCAGATGTAACAACAGTTGCCGAGCCAACCACATCAGCAGATGTAACGACATTTGTCGGGCCGACCACATCTGCAGATGTAACAACAGGCGGCGAGCCAACTACATCAGCAGATGTAACGACATTTGCCGGGCCAACGACATCTGCAGATGTAACAACAGATGCCGGACCAACCACATCAACAGATGTAACAACAGATGCCAGACCAACCACATCAGCAGATGTAACAACAGTTGCGGAGCCAATCACATCGGCAGATGCAACGACACTTTCCGAGCCAGCCACATCAGCAGATGTAACAACAGATGCCAGACCAACCACATCAGCTGATGCAACAACACATGCTGTGTCAACCACATCAGCACATGTAACAACAGATTCCGGGTCAACCACATCAGCAGATGTAACAACAGTTGCCGGTTCAACTACATCAGCAGATGTAACAACAATTGATGGGCCAACCGCATCAGCAAATATAACAACAGATTCCGGGTTAACCACATCAGCAGCTGTAACAACAGTTACCGAGCAAACTGCAGCAGCAGATGTAACAACAGATAATAACCCACTCACACAGGCAGACATAACAAGTGCCGGGCCGACAACAGCAGCAGCAGGTGTAACAACAGTTAATGCTCGAACCACTAAAGTACCTATAACAACAGCAGCCATGCTAACCACAACAGTGGCTGTAACTGCAGTTGTTGAGTTAACAACATCAGAAAAGCTTGCAACAAGTGATGGGTTAACCACAACAGTAGATGTTACAACAGCTGCTGCCTCAACTACAGCAGCAGCTGTAACAAAAGGGGTTATACCAACCACAGCAGGGGGTATAACAACAGGTACTAGGTCAACCACCACAGCAGATGTGACAGCAGTAGATGTTACAACTACAGCAGAAGCTATAATAACAGTGGCCAGGCCAACCACATCAGCAGATGTAACGACAGGTCTGACATCAAATTCCAATATGATCTTTATATAATAAATAAAAATAGATGAGCCGTACTAGCTTGACGTAATAGAAAATAAAACTCAAAAAAATTTAATACTTTAAGGACTAGTTTATTTGACAGTACACTAGCTTTCGTGCACACAGTGCTCCTTCACCTGAAGAAGTGCACTGTGTGCACGAAAGCTAGTGTACTGTCAAATAAACTAGTATTTAAAGTACTAAATGTTTTATATATTATGTTACAGTAATTGTCAAATGGCAAATAAATTTAGTATTTGGGAAATCTATTGACATAACACTTATAGGCAACGATATCAAAATGGTGCTTTATCGAACAATCAAAAATAATGATAGAGTTAGCACTTATTAAACATCCGTCACTTACAATACTTTTCCAATCTCTTACAATAACAATAGAACACTTGTTACCATTCTTACTAATTTGCCTTAACTATCTGATTGTTTGCTTCAGATGAAAGTTTCGGAGTACAGATGACGATAACAAGTATCGGTGGTCAAGAGGCACAATATTCAGATGAGTTATCAGATCGAACCAGTGATTTGTTTATAGAGTATGAGGATTCGATATGTAGTGCTGTGAGTAAAATGGTGGTGGTTTATGTAACTTACATTACTGATCATAGGTGGTGGCACGGTTTGAAAGTTGGGAGGGCCCGGTTATCTCTTGCGAACAGAGCAAGGTGCCCTCGGAAAATTAGGAATTTTACTTTCTAGGAGAGCTGTTTGATGATTATTTTTATTATATGATCTCCTATAATGTTTTATGATCAAATTCGCCAAACAAAACCAACTGGTGACCTTTTGTTTTGTCAAATAACCATCGTGCACATGACAGCGGAAACTGCAATAAAATAGTGGAAAGCACCATGAAGAATATAATTTAAACATAATTATTGAACACTTTCATTTTTGTTACTAAGGTTACAAGAATATATGACGAAAGTGATGAAATATCCAGGTCTACCCAAAGTTGCTCTGTTCTGGAATTTTTGTCTGGAAGCATAATTGCAAATGTTGAAGTAATATTTCCTGAAAACACCGCTACTACTGACAACCTTCAACTTGTGCTGACTAATTCAATTGATAATTCAGGTGGTTCACTACCCAACACAGATTTCGCAGTTGATGTTTCTTCAGTTACTGTTGAACGTAAGAAACTTTATTACTACTACTAAACATACTACTGTGATACGGGTTTATTTATTTATTTATTTTTTTATAGAATTAACGCAAACCTATGGCCGTATTCGACGAGTCGTTCTTCGTTAAACCACTTCCACCTGCGCAGCAGTGGTAAAATCCTACTTAACGAAGACGACCAGTCGAATAGAAAACTTGTAAATACTCGACAAAACAAAATGGCTGCATAGTTACCGCGATACACGCTGCGTAATCAAGGCTGCTTCAGATTGTGGCAGTATGGGTTTTTCGTAAAAAAATGTGTTCATCCAATTTTTGAATTCTGTTAGCCTACATTTATGTTTTGATTTTAATGTGGGTAAATATTATAATTTTTATTTTCTGAAATTTAATCTAAATTATATTAACGCAAATGTTGTTGCTAAACTGACCAATCGGCCATATATTTTTAAAGTTACGTGCATAACTTAACGCTGATTAACGCATTCTGGTTACGTTAATTTTCGTTGTCAAGGAAGTCTATTTTACAAACCAGTCGAATGAAAAAAATACTCGACGAAAATTCGTACTCAACGAAATGAACCAGTCGAATAAGTCCTATAATACCAATAGCATACCTGGATATTAATTATTCCATGAGAGTTAAAAGTAATATTACATTCTGTCTATACTAGTCATTTAAATCGGATGTATAATTCGGATATGAAATTCATTATTTCTATGTTAGAACGAGTTACTTGTGAAACTGATTATTGCGAAAATGGGGGAACTTGTGATGACAGTGAACAACCACCGAAATGCGCATGTCAAGAAGGCTACAATGGCAACAAGTGTCAAAACAAAAAAAGTAAGTACATTTAAAAAACGATATGTAGCTTGAAGATGTAATGTTGAGCAGTGCAATCACCTTTAGCAGGATGGAAGATAAGCACGAGATTAGTTGTAGTTTAATTAAATTCGAATGACTAAACGGACCATTTCACTGAGGCCTGCCTCTTGAACATTATTGCTAAGGTTCGACAGCATAAACGTACGTATTTTCCTGGCCCTGTTCTGATTGGTCAATGGTTTGATTGGGATGCTAGAAAAATAAGTACGAAGAATAGAATACTTAAAAATTATTTTTAACTATATGCTTAGAATAATATCCAGATCAGGTAGTTTTTATTTGGTTGTCACAAACGAAGACGTAAAAAAAAAACTAAACATAACATTGTTTGTCTTTCAGCGGATACGGTGATTTACATAATCATTGGTATTTCTGCCTTTATTGTATTGGTGCTGCTTACCGTTTTCATTGCCTTCATCATATCTGTGGTTAACAAACGTCGAAGACATCAAAGCGACTTGTTTTATAAAACGTCGTTTCGTGACGATGACACAGCATCCGAGTCCTCCGAAAAGATGGCTCATTACCAAAATAGAATCTTTTATACCTCAGATCGAGATGTAAGTACATAATCTATTTCTTGTTCTCACGTGGCACGTTTCTTTCCAAAGCAATCTTTAGCGTATAGTAGAATACACACAGTAGGCTTAAAATACCTTTATTGGATGTAGTGATCTAACAATGATTGCGTTGAAAATCTCTACTATAATAGCTGGATTGCTCAACGGCTAATCATTGTGCCGGCGTGTGCAGTTTACAGTTGTTGGTGCCCTTCGCGCCGGTTTAAAAGTTTTGCGCTGTGATGACGTATTTATGACGTTTTATGCTCGAGCTCCCCAACATAATGCGTCGATTGCAATCCAGGTATTATTTTAGAGATCTGCGGGTCTTTAAAGCGACAGCGTAGCAATTTATGGAAACAAAGCTTTACATTTTTTGTAGTATTCGCATCTCTCACCGTGATTTTTGCGCCTATCTGTATCTAGGACTTGAAATACACATGTTCATAAATCTGTTATAACATGGATTTTTTTAAAATTTACTATAGGATGATGGGTATAACAGTTTTAGAAGCTATAGTAGAAATATAATGCGGCCTTATGTTGTATCAGGAACTGAAGGCATGGTAAGTTTAATAAAAAATAATGTTATATTCATAACGGCACTAACTTACTCTACAACTGCAACCAGAATTCTTTCCAGTTTTGTGTGACTTTAGCAACAATAGTGAGTTTCGATTTCACAACAAGGGTAAGACGTCGAACGTAATGACGTCATGCACAGATGACTTTATGTTATACGTTATACGTCCTACTGCCGTCGGGTAATCGAATGCTCCCTATAAAGTCATCTGAGCATGCGAGAACGCATGCTCCTCGTCGCGTAGATTCTAGGATGGAATTTGACCGAACCTACGTTGTGCAGAGAACGTATAGGACGGTCAGGCAGTGAACCGTTCTAGCGTTGCGTCGTCGCGCAAATCGAAAGCTCCCTGCTGCTGCTATCTAAAACGCGGGGCTTAACGGGAAGGTCTTATTGATGGATTTATTTGTAGTATGTGCTTTATAAGTATATCGCCATTACCATTAGCCTACCTTTGAAAACTAATTTATAATAAAATCAATTCAAATAATACATTTGTTGTCCATCTTTATAAGCGTAAAATAGACATTATGGCTCGTATTTTCAAAAGCGGACTAACTTTAGTCCAGGTCTAAATTTAGTTCAGGACTCAATCTGGATTTAAACCAGGACTAATAATAATAATAGTTGGATTTGTAATAGTGCATCATGCAAACAACCTCTAACAAGACTATTCGAGAATAAGGGCCTATATCTTTCTTGTTTCTTCTCTATATAGGCCTGATTATATCCCACTGTGAAATATAAATTTATAAATTTAATAAAATATATGTTTTGTTTAATAGGGTCGTTATTACACCGAAGGAAGACCAAATAATGGTGATGGCGTTGTGTGGGATAGTTACCAAGGGAAGAATTTCAACCGACATTAACTCGTCAACAAATTGTGATAAGCAGTCATGGTGTATAGTAAACGAAGTGACTCATTTGTTGTTTGAGGATCTGAATTGTATTTACATAAATTAATATTTAACTGTTTGTTCAGTCATGTTTTGTGTTTAACAATTGTTAATCCTATTTAAGTATTTTACTACCGACCGGTCACGTCTATTTGGTGTTTTTAATATTACAATAAAGTAACGGAAGGTTTATTTAACTTTTCAATACTACTTGCAAAACTTATATTACAAGTATATATATTTTTAATTCCATGCTTCATAATTATGAAAGCACTATGTACAGAACATTTCGAGATTGTGTAATGAAGAACTGCGAGTTAGATTCCGAGAGATATACTGTAATAGTATAGGGCCAAATTTGGATATTTCTTCCAATATTGTTTTTTAATCATCAATATCGATAAAAACATCAGGCCTATGGAACTTTCTATTAAAACATCTACAGGACTAGGCTAGGCCTTACATCAATGTTTAATGGAGAAATATCGAGATTTTAATGAAACGTCAATCACGATAAAACAATTATATTCTACTTGTGAATAAGGAATAGTGATGAATATAATTTAATAGTCGTATTTCAATATGCGTCATAATAAGACAGATACTAATCATCTACACATGTACAAAACAATTAGAGGCGCTAGACGATACGACGTTATCTGCTGATTGCTGTTGGCAGACTGAGCTGACCGTCGTATTCTCCTCGTCGATCGTCGGCGGCGGCAGTGTGAGACCGGCTTAGATTACGATAAGTTGAACTCGGAGAGGGATATCGGCAATATATAATATACTTTTGACATCTGGGAAAACCTCAGAAACATTAAGCCAGGTAATACAATATGTATGTGTATATATATGTATATATATATGTGTATATATATATATATATATATGTATTTATTTATG